GTTTTCAATAATAAAGGAAAAAGATATGTTAATTGAACTAAGAATTTAATTAATATTTATTCCGTCTTCAGAAATCAAATTTTTTTTCAAATCAGCATTAATTAATATAAATCTTTTGTTAAATGCACTTGATATTGTTTGGCTTGTATCTTCCCATTGAGGTTTAAGACTGCAATTGATCAGTCTGTTATTGGCATATGTGCATACTGTGCGTATGCCTCGACATTGCCTTAATTCACAAGCTTTTTGTCAGCAATGATAGATAGTGGCTAGCAGTGGAATCTGGGACGCGCGTTTCGTTCTATTTGGGAATCGTCAGCTGGATGTATCTGCATCTCACAGTTGATGTTTACTCAGGGACTCGAATCCAATATCAATCGCTTCAAATGCCATCCCGTTATCCACTCAGCTACTGAGTCCAGAGTGAACATCAACTGTGAGATGCAGGTACATCCAGCTGACGAGTCCCGAATAGGATGAAACGCGCGTCCTGGATTCCACTGCTAGCCACTATTCATCATTGCTTACTTTTTTTAATGTCTGTTGTATCTTAAGATTTATATAATTATCGAACGTGAAAATCTAAACAACTAAGTAATTACGTGAATTCATGCAAACAGTAACATTCTATCATTTGATGGGATAATTTTCCCCCGATTATATACAGAGTTTGGTTATGTTTGAGTGCTTCTTAGAGTTAAATACACTCTGACTAAAGAGTTCGTTTCCTACGATGAATGACTATAGAGAAAACGATGAGTGAATCATGAAAATAAATTGTCGGTTTCATTTCATACATTGTACTTAGGATGGATGAATTTATTTTAGACACTTGTCTGCTCAGATAGATGTTAAGTTGAGAGATGGAGAAAGCCAACACCACAACTCAAATTAATTAAAATAAGACTCAACATTTATAGGTATGAAAGATACAAACAAGCATATTGATACATACATATGATCAAGATCACACATATAAATTATAAAATGACTGGAAAGATTAAAATAATTCATCAGTTTAAAAGTAATGATAAACCATATAGACATGTAACAAGATTACTTGTTACACGTTATAGGCTAATAGCAACTGGAAAATCATTAACATAACAACAGTCTTTAACAATCATTTTTATTCCATTGTGCCCCAGCAATCCCACATGGAATCAAACTAGAGATCTTCAAATGTCACGATGAGCATCAATACTTTAGACCACTGATTCAATTAGTCTCTAGTTTAGATGTATAACTTTGGTCAGTGGTTTATAATATAGCACAAAAAATCTGAACATAAAGCTGTTATTTAAGGAAATTATGAAATATAGGATGTCACGTGTGAGTTTATCTATCTGTTTTCCAATGTTCGGTAAAATTGCAAATTAAAAAATTTTCGAGCATTTTTGCTTTCGCTTAATGTGCAAATAGCGTATATAAGAGCATACATTGCATTGAAGATTTCATTTCAATCCTTTAAAGCGATTCACTTATATTATTTATAAATATGCCACTGTAGAGCTCCCAAACTTGCCAGAAGAAAAGTAGATAAAATGAAAGTCAAAGCTTGAAATGCCCAATGAAAATTATACTCTTATATGCATCACTTACACTCGAAACAAAGGGAAAGATACCTGAAATTACTCCATACCTCACACATATTGAATACCAATAAACGGATATATTTAATCTCTTCCATATATCATTTTCTATAAAATTTAAAATAAGCTTCATTTAGTTGTCAATAGAATATTTCTCATTTGTTTATGTGATTTGTGAAAATAATAAAAACAAACTCATAAAGCTTATAGATCTAATTGAATTGGTTGTATTTCACCGTTTGTTGTTGAAATTTACAATTCAAATAATCTGTCTTGATAAGTGTATCAATATTGGGCTAGAAAATATATTCACTAGATGTATCCCATTTAGATTACACTATGAATCAAATGTAACAAACACAGAAAACGTAATTACTCGTTTTTTCTTATTTATCTACAGTTGAATAAATAAGTTTCCATCATAATTATGCTACTTGCAGAATCAAAATCCAGTCAGTTTATATAGAACAGCTTCTAACAAGTTCTAGGTATTTGTTTTCTTAGACAGTGTGAAGCATAATGTGAAATATAGTATTCATTCTTATAATAGGTCCACTTTACAGTCTACATAAGAAAAAAACGACCGAGTGCATAAACCGTAATTAATTATATTGAAGTCACCAATCAGTCTAAGTTAGACAACTGTTAAAAAAACTAGAAGCCCTAGACAGCTGTTTATTTCTAGCGTGGGACTCTTTAAAAGTGAGCATCCACGGCCCCGCAACTGAGAGTCGAACCCAGAACCTCCGGCCTCACGACCAAAAGATTAACCTCTAGAACACTATGCCGTGGTCATGTGTTCACTAGTTACTAGTTTCAAGAGACATTTTTTGAGTTCTAAGAAAGACCATGACCAGTGAATTTAGCTGCATGACAAAGGTACTCAGTGAAGATGATGGAAGATTTTCTCACTGTGTCATAGATTGATTAAAGCTAAACTAGTACACCAATAGATACTAATCCAGTGGTATTGATATTAAGTGTCTAAGTGTGACACTGAAAGCACTAAATTATGTTCCTGATTGCGGGATTGTGGATTCCTACTGCTATGTAGTCCTAAATTAGAGAAAGACAGCCGTCTAGAACTTTCACGTTTGCAATGGTTGTCTAAGTTTGTTTCATGATTTCAAAAAAACCCAACAATATCCACAACCCCAGATCTTATAATTAACATAAAGACATTTATCTAGTTAATTAAACTCATGATTATTCCTAATTTAAGAAAGTCTTTATATATATATATATATATATATATATATATATATATATATATATATATATATTGCTGACATTTTTCGAAAACTAATTAATTAATTACGTAGTTGACATAGCAACACATTGTATTATAAACTTAATAATAAATGAATTAATATAGTGGATGCTCACTGCTGAGGAGTCCCACAAGAGGATGAAACGGCCATCCAGTGCTTTCAGGTTTTCAATGGTGGTCTAGCTTTAATTGACTCATGATCTCAACTATTGAAACAAATGAATTATAAAATACTTTGAAGTTTATTTTCATAACGTATGATGTCAGAACGTTTTCTTATCTGTCCATATTCAATGAATATCACTAAACTCTGAAAAGATGTGCTATGGCCCAAAGCCGCCAAGGACGCGTAGAACACGTACAAGCAGCCTAGAGTCCTGATTGGTCCTGTTTCCGCCTAGCCCAGCCAGTTAAGTTCAGAACACCAGTCTCAGCCTCTGCAATATGAATCCTTATATTTCAAACATACTGAGTTTATATACCAATCAAATAGACCACAACGTAGCATAAAATAGAAAATAACATTTGTACAAAATTTGGCCAAATGTGGCTGTGAATGTGGGAGGCAGTGACTAATAGACAGGGCATAATTCAAGAATGGTAAAACGTATAATAATGGATCATAGGTCAAAATAAAGTTTACAATAAGAGGAATATGAATAGTTTAGTTACTTAACAGTTATACGATAAAAATATACGTTTAGTATTGGTCCATAAAAGGATCCCAAAGTCACCATTGATTATGTTTATCTGGACCTAACAAGATGTAATGCAACATGCCGATATTTTTAACAATTAAAACCATATGCGAAAAAACGTTATATTTTTTAAATGAAAAAAGTGAAACATTAAATTGTTTGGTCAAGTTAACTATCACGTTGGTAAGATGAAATTTCAATTATCAGGTGCCAAAACTATGTATTCATTTTTGAACTACACTGTTTAATCTAAAGCCAGTGATTCCTTACAGATTTTGATACTCGAAATAGGTTAAAATTTTTAATCTAGTGATTGAAAGCTGAGTTCTCCAATAACTACATTATCATTACTTCGTCTACCAAACACATATTCGACTCTTGGTAATACACTTCGTAAATTGATGTATTTAGCTTCAAATCACATTTCAATTGTGTGAGTCAATGATACTACCCGATTTCTAAAATCTAAGTAGATAGAGCGAGTCTAGGACCTAAGACTTAGTGTTTGAAAATCAAAAACACTAACCACTGAACCTCCTCTTTTTTTATCAATAAATATGAGTAAATGTGGAAATATGTTTGGATACAAATTAATTTGAAAAAAAAATTGTAATGACAGAGGTGGCTCGATTTATAACCCTGATTAGTTGCCACAAAACGAAATACTGATTACTTGACTAATTACTCATCGTTTTTTATTTGTACAGCCAGCTAAGATAATATGACGTCTGATAGTTAATTAATCTTCCATAAAGTTTTTCGATCATATACTAAACAACGAAGGACTAATCCCCATACGATCAAAGATATTTACAATACATTGAAACAGATTCGTAACTGCTAGAGTCTAACTAAATAAAACATGAAACAGTTACTCACTAACGGATTCGGATAGTGTCATGATATATTCTGAATTGAATAAATCGGGTACATGAATCTGTAGATTACGATTAAATGGTTTAAAGTTAATACGTTCGCTGGGAGACCTAGTCATGTTCCTCGTAATATCTAGTTACTAATGAGTAGTCTTTTACTAGTGTGGTGTGTGCTACTGGTGACGACATATATAAATAGTATGTATCACCAATCGAAAGCGAAATCCTTGGTGGCAGAAGGTTACGAAGATCAAAGAGAAGAAAAGGAGAACAGAGAATGATTAGTGTGGAAACGAAGGAACAATCAAGTCTGAGACGATTGATTGACAATTTGCAAATGAAGTATTTACTGCATGGTCCTCGGATTTTACTAAGAGATTCTGTAATTTCGTATTCAAATACAATCGACTATCCCCATGGCATTCCCATTCACTACACTACAACAATAAAGCTATCACGTATTTATTAATTTTTAATCATTGTATTCAGTGAAAAGTAACCTCAACTAATTTTCATACTTTTCCCAACCAAAGGTATTGCCCAAAACAAATCAAATAGGACTTACTTTAAATCGAAATTGTCTCGGTCCATTATCATAATCCAATGAATGACCCACAGTAATACGTCCTGTGATAGAATCTATTTTAAAATAATTCTGTGCTAAATTACGATCACATGGACAAAATCCATAAACTAGCTTTGAATGTAATCCATCATCTTGATCAGAAGCATTTAATTGTAATACGAAACTGCCGATAGGTAATGTTTCACGTAAATTACCATTCAGTGGTCTATAGATTACGTAATTTGATTCGAGATTATTATTATTATTTGAATTTAAATGGTTATTTACTTCATATTGATTAACTGGATTATGAAATTGTGGTATATGATCATTGACATCGATTAAAGTGATCAAAAGTGGTATACTTGTACTTTTCGGTGGATTACCTAAATCACTTGCTAACAAAGTTAAATTGTAAACACCTCCTTGTCCAGCAAAATCCTTTGTTTCTCTATCTAGAGGGAGTATAGGCCAAATCTGTAATGATGTTTCATGTGTACCGGTCATAGGGTTTATATGATTATTATTATTATTGATATTATATAAATCCATGCTTAGATCACTTTTTCGGTGAATCAGTAAATCAGCATTTGATTGACTATGATATTGATCATTATTATCATTATTTATTTTTCTGTTAAAATTATCTGCTAATCGAAAATAATCTGCACCTGGACCAATTAATCGATAAATAATTGTACCGTTCTGACCCATATCTGGATCATAAGCACGATCAATTGATTTTGCATTTCTAATTGCATCATTCTCATTGATAGGTCGTAGAATTGTCTGAACAGTATTCCATCCATTGTTATTTGATGATGACGGTGTTTCGACAAAGCTTACATGTAGAAGACTGTTTTCATGCCATTTAGGTGCATTATCATTAATATCATGTATTATTACATGTATTAATATCCTTGAAGTTTTAACTGGTGTTTCAGCATGTTTTTCACCAGCTCCAGTAGTTAAATGTGTTGATTCTTGATTAGTTCGTGTAATAATTAATATATTTAAAGCTTGTAAACATTCATTTGGTGAAGAATTAGAAAAATCATTTGCATTCATTAAATTTGAATTTCTTTGTGTTACAACAATATCGTTCATATTACTATTAATTCCAACAGAACCACTAGTACCAGCATTATTATCCCATGATGAACATAAAGCTTCTCGATCAATGCGTCCATTAACAATTAATCGACCAGTATTTGAATCTAAACTAAATAAATTTGAAAATGTACCATCATTAATTAATTGAAATGTTGTTGTTTGTATTAAACCTTTCATTTGTTCACGAGATATTAATTGTTGTAAATATTCAGCAATTCCAGGTATTATACTTCCAGTTGGACATTCTTCAATAATGTCTACACGTAATGGAATATCATGAATACTTTGTACAATTAAAATGAAAATATTATACAATAATATAATGACTAGAATTGTTCCCTTATTCATAATGTGTTGTTGTTTTTTTTCTTTTTCGTATATGTTAATATTTAAATTTAAATCAGCTTTCTTTTCTTTTTTATTCAGAAAAATAATTTATTATAACAATCGTATATATACATTTTATAAAATATAAACTTTTCCTATTACTTTGAACCGTCTTAATTTTGAAATAGTATAAACACCGCCTTAAATGACCTACAATTTGATTGGTTGTTCATATTTCAAAAATGAATCATTGTTTCTTCATTCTGATTGGTTGAATTCAAATGGTTTTTGATGTTCAACTATACGATTGGATCAGTGTTATTTCTTTTAATTCTGAATCGACTGATGAATATGGAAAGAAAAAAAAATAAAAGTGTGTAACATTATGAATATGCTATGCGAAAGTGTAAAAGTTTAGTAACTAACACACTAACAGATTATGGTTCAGAATAAGAGAGGGAGAGAGGGAGAGAGGGAGAGAGAGAAATAGGAATAAAACACTTTAGTTAAAAGCATATACATGTATTTATAATAAATTAAACGAAAGAAGAAAACTTGACAAAAGCATTGTTTCTTTTTTATACATAAGATAAGTCAAATATGACTTTAGAATATAATAAACTACAAATAAAGAAATAATAATAACGTGAAATCTTTCACATTTTATGCTTAAAATGCTTCCCTTGAAGTAATAAGTGACAGTCACAATTAACACAGTTTGAATATATTTCATTAATTTTAATGATTTGATGATATAATAAAGACTAGTTAACTTGGACAACAATCAATTAAATGGTAAAAGACAAAGAAAATTAATGTTCTTTACAATTTTCAGTAGGCAGAGAGTTTCACTCCCAGTTCATTTTTAAAAGTGTATCATTATGGCTGATTTCAAGAGATTATGATTTATCTACTTCAGTTGATCAATAAATCTTAATTGTGATATAAAGAATATACAATAAAATAAAGGATTTGAGAAGATTAAAGAATCGTATATCTTACAGTAAGAACTAAGTTTGGATAGCAATAGAATGCAGAAAGCACGGAACCATGTCTCGTGTGAGGCAGTAACCCACTATTGGTTTCGGAAGATGACTGTACAATATCACGAATAGTCTGAAGTTAGATATGTAGGCCATTAGATCCAATCTCACACTGGTCTAAGGGTTGAGAGTTCAGTTTGAGACCTAAAGATCCTGGGTTCAAATACTGATGAAGTAATGGTTTGGGATTACTGAGGAGTTTAATGCTAAGAAACAAAACGTTTTAAATGCTTTCTCGCTTCCAGTACTGATCTAAACTTTGAAATGAGTAAGATGTAGTCGAATTTATAGTCTTGACCACTAGGCCCCTGGGATATGCAGTGGGCTACATCTTTACTCTCTTATTTTCAGTAAGCTCCCTATTTATATCACATGTACTGTTTTATCTACTTAATGAACATATACTTTCTGAAACAAAGCTAACTAGTTTTTTAATGTTTTCAGATGGAGTAAACAGAGTTCACTATGCTCTTTGGAGTCAGAAAACGGACTGAATAATTTAACTGCCATATCAATGTATCTTTAAAAGGATAAAAGATTTAGTGAGAATCTGTTATCTGTGGAGTCTTACAATGTCAAGTGTAAGGCAATTACTGGTCAATTACATCGGATGATAATTAAGTGGTATTGTTAGCAAGCGGAAGTCAAACATGTAAATGATTGGATGCTGGTTCACCGATTCAGACGTTTGGCGTTCGCGAAAATCTCTTCAAACCCCTTATAGAAACAAACTCTTGTATATTAGTTAATCTGGCTTATAAAGTCAAGTAACCAAATAATAAAAAAATAATCGTCTAAATTTGTAGTGCTTTTCATTGTTGGTCTATCATTCAATAAAACGTTTTCACGTTTTGTTATGAACAAAAGCACGTTTTAGTTTGTTAAAATGATGAACAGAATACTGATCGGTAAATAATCCATAGTGATACGATATGGCCATCTGACAACTCTGCATGTTACTACATTATTGGAACAAACCTTTAAACGACTATACAACTCGCCAACACAATAAATTTTCTTCTAGACATGCTGACATGATCTAGTTATTAATAACATTGATTGAACAACAATGTTGATTAGTTTTGGACACAATTAAACATACAGAACTCATAAAATATTGTGGGAGGAATGTTAAGTTGAATCATTCATTGAAGAAGACATTTCATTTCATAGGAATCCAATTATTTACAAAAATAATACCTGAAGATTCACAAGTATTCTTTGAACAATGAGGACAGAGATTGTGCAAGTATACTGTTAAAAACAGTGCATTTTGAAGGCTGGATGTTGATGCACTACAAATTTTATAAAAACAAATCTTTTAGAAGCACAATTTACATATTTATTGGACAAACGTTCAAAATATCTACGGTTAAAGCTTAATTAAATCATAAGTCATAAGGTTCTTCTACACACCCATAAAATCGAAACCTGACACAAAGATTTATTTTTTGATCATCATATACGGTAGCTTCAACATTTATAGTGAGCCCTCAATTATGCAAACAAATAAACTACAGTTATTCACTGTTCATTATTCATAACATTTAGAAAATAAAAGGAAAACTAGTTTTTTTAACTAGAACAGTTTAAATTTGTAATCCGATTACTCTATAACTTAGTTTAACTTACTAATGTGATTGCCCTTCTAACTTCAAAAAGATGGTAAACAATCTAATTTGTACTGATGTATAATATAATTTCATAAATCAATTTAATAAGTAATTTAATTTATTGTAAATATACTAATATTATCAGAAGGGGTTTTTGGAGATTTTAAAAATTTCACAGATTGAAATCATGAGTCAGTTGAAGCTAGACCACCATTGAAACCTGAAAGCACTGGACGGCCATTTCGTCCTAGTATGAAACTCCTCAGCACCCCTCGGGATTCGAACCCCCGCGACTGACTTCAGGAGATACTCCTGGAGTTCTAGTGAGAAGCCGTTACCAGTGGAGTTCGACCAGGTCTGTTGCGAAATATCAGCTCACTGAAGACAATGGAGTACGGTGGAACAACTTCGTGGATTGGTTGAAGTTAGACATTAACACCATTGGATTCCGGCTCAGTGGTCTGGTGGTTAAGTGCTCGAGCGCGAAACCAGTAGGTCCTGGGTTCGGATTCCGCGGGGTGCAGGATCGTGGATAGGAACTGCTGAGGAGTACTATACTAGGACGAAACGGCCGTCCAGTGCTTCCAGGTTTTCAGTGGTGGTCTAGCTTCAATTGACTCATGATTTCAATCTGTGAAATATACTAATATTCTAATTATAATGAATCACAGTGATTCATTGCATAATTCTTTTCGGGAAAATATTTTGAGTAATATATATTAATAGTTGAGATCATGAGTCGATTGAAGCTAAACCATCATGCAAAACCTGCAAGCACTGAAAGACCGTTTCGTCCTAGTATGGGACTCCTCAACTGTGCACATGCACGATTCTGCCTCACGAGATTTGAACCCAGGACCTATCGGTCTCGCGCGCGAATACTCAACCTCTAGATCACCGGGCCGGCATCCAATAGTGTTTATGTCTATATATATAGACATAGTATGTATTCAGTAATTCTAACATTTCCTATATCATTCATGGTAGTGGAATTTGTAAACATGATGAATTTTCAGTGTGTTTCCTTTCAGGAAAAATGTTTATTTATTGTCCAATTAAAAGGAGGCTATTATTCATTCTATTAATATTAGTCATCAACAAGGACTGTTTTTTCTTAAACAAAACAGGGTGAAAAAAATCTTTTTTTTTGACAATATTACATTTTTTTCGCTTAAATCATTTAACTGGAAACTCCATGTATCATCATAAGAAACATCAGTAGCAATAACCCAATATTCAATTATTTTTAATAACAACTGAAAGAAAACAAACGGTTATGAATAAAATACCATACCCGTTTAATTAGCTAGTGATTACCTAAGCTCAACAGCTCCTTGGGTAACGTGTTGGGCTTACGAAACGAGCGGTACTCAATTCGAACACTAAAACTAAGATTATTAGATCAAAATAGAATAAAATACACTCTATTATTAGACACTATTTACCTTTATTAACAGTGATAATGTTGAAAAATGAGCTTATATAAATTAATTCTAGTAATCAGTCTACATTTTTTAAACTAAATTCTGCACCACGATTTTTAAATGACAGATTAGAGATTTAGATTTTATTGATAAGTTTGAGTTCACTCAACTAAGTGAATGTATTGTAGTTTTAATACTTGATTTCAGAGAATGACTAAAGAGTTAAGATTTGCAACTTTAGACATCTCATAGTTGATCGATCACTAGGTAGTGACAAATGTCATTTGTGTCAGGTCCTTCTTAACTGAGATCGGATTCTGTCGACCAAGTTGCAATATAGCCACTAGTCTAGGTGACACGACATCCCGTGCACTATGTTGAGAAGTAATGCAAAGGTTGGAGGCGGTCAAGTGTGTTTCTTGTCCGCTACCTCAAACCACCACAGTACATTTAAACAGTTAAATTTCTCTGAGACGATTTAGAATGTTCTCACAGTCAATCTACACATTTATTACTGATCGATCACTGAGTAGTGAACAATGTCATTGAAATCAAGTCTTTCTTTGTACTGATGAAATGCTTTAGATCAAGTTGCAATGTGACCACTCGCCTAAATGATCAGATATCGCGCGCACATTTTTTGAGATTTAAGGTGGTGTTACTCGGTTATCCGTCAATTGCAAAAACATCTCGGCCATCTATGAGGTCACTCGTGGCTTGAATAACCTGATAATTACGTTAATGGTTGTGAAACCATTTGACATGACATCGAATCACAAAGGCAGCGTCAGTATCCTCAAGATCTCAGATATATGTTGCTGTTGAGTCCCGAATAGCAAGAACCTGATGCCCTGAGTTTCTTGATGACTACCTCCAACCACCCTCCATTTTCTCATTTGCCGAAAGCTATTGTATAGCTGTAAAGATTTGTTTTATGCATA